AAAAAAAAAAAGAAGAAGCAAATTTATGGCAAAACAATGAGCACCTTTTAGACACCATAGCAAAACCAACTTGAATTATATGCTCTTAGTAATATACTAGTATTTTTTATTGCTCTAAATATTACTTACTTTAGAAATTGAATAAAATATATTCTCATGTTCCAGAGGGGTAAGGGGGGGCTGCTGTGACTTACTAACAGCAGCCCCTACAGTTAATTTCTAGCCCTTGATTTTACAAAAAATAAGAGGCAATCTAATGGCTCAAAATAAATAAGACACAAAGAATTAAACTTAATTTACATCAGTTAACTATCACTTAGCCAATAAAATTGGGAAAAAAAACTCAATCTAACATTATACACGCATGTAACGGAAAAACAGAGCACCAAAATTTTTTATTTTACCACTTTCAAGCATCAAAATTGAATCTTTATCACAAAATGAAATTTTTATCTAAGTATAATTTGTGAAAATGCTAAAAAATTAAAAATAAAATAAAAAAATCAATATTGCTGTGTTTGTTTACGGGGATAAAAAAGAAGAAGAAAAAATCTGCGCGTCTATGTCTGTGTGTTAACAAAATAGAATCTGGTAGTAGCTTTATATCCTTCTGAGTCTGTGTTTTGTTGGTGGAGGAAAAAATAAGGAGAAGAAAAAAATTAAGGGTGTTCTAAATCTGCGTGCAAAGAAGAAGAGGAAAAAGATGACATAAAATCAACCAAGTCAGCTCGGTGGACTTCTGGTACTTGCGGATCTCACGGTGGGCGACGGTGCCGGGACGGAAGCGGTGGGGCTTCTTCACGCCGCCGGTCGCCGGAGCGGACTTCCTGGCGGCCTTGGTGACCAGCTGCTTGCGGAGGGCCTTGCCGCCGGTGGATTTGCGAGTTGTTTGCCTCGTGCGTGACATTTTCTCGGGATTTTTTGGCTGTTTGGGGTGATGAGAATTTGAGAATTTCTGAATTTTGTGATGAATTTGCTGAGATTGTGGATGGGTAATGGGGGCTAAACTTGTTAAGTTCAATTCTTTATGTCTTATTTATTTTGAGCCATTAGATTGCCTCTTATTTTTTTGTAAAATCAAGGGCTAGAAATTAACTGTAGGGGCTGCTGTTAGTAAGTCACAGCAGCCCCCCTTACCCGTTCCAGAGATATTTGAATTTTAAACTCACAGCACTTGAAATCGTCATGGAATCTCAATCCACCACCAATAGTAACCTAGTTTGTTATGTGGGATAAATTTAGTCACGTGTTTGTTATGCGTGATAAGGTGTAGGATAGTTTTTTAATTTTTCTTTTAAAAAATAATAATTATTTAATTCAACATATAAATCAGCTTTAGGTTGTAAAGTACTATTTTACCCCTTGGGGAGGGTCAAAACAGTCCAAAAAAATTCAAATTGAGGGTAAATTCAACTTTATGCTTGCTAGGATTGGACTAATCCCATGTAAATGGCGGGATTGAATTATCTCGATTCATGGGATAAATGACTTTTTTATTCGGGGCCTGCCCAATCCTGCCGGCTTCAACCCATCGAAAACGAAACACATGATTAAACTTGGATTAGGCAGGATATCCTGCGTAATCCTAGAAAACAAACATGAGTAATGTATCTCAAATTATCTGCTGTTTAATCTACAATTTGATGATTTATTCCTCCCAAAATCCATGCCTGAAAATGCACTTAAATAATAAACACATTTTGTGTCAACAAAAATTGAGAGTGTTCAGTCTTGCGCAATGTACATATCATCTAAGAGCATTCGTAATCACACTTCGAAATCTAAAATCGGTTTTCAAGTTCAATTCAGGTTGAATCGATCATCCATTACAACTGTTGGTAATAACAAAGTTCATAGGGCCTACAAGTATTTGCAAAACTTCAAGTGTTTACCAACCTGGTCACAGCAAATTTTCTTACTAAAAAATTCAAAGAACAAAAAATCTCAATCAATATTTTATTTTTAGTCATTAGATATAAATAAAAGAGTTTCAACTTTCAAGAGTCGGTAAAACACAAAATGTGGCTAATAAACACAACAGTATAACACATATAGATATCCTTAGGAAATCATACATTAATGTAGTAAAATAGAGACAACTGCATAAGATGCTTTTAACCTACATAACGCGGATCGAAATTCGTCCACTACATACTCCGATAGCATGATCACTTTTTCAATACCTTGACCGTCTGGTTCCCCTGCATCTGACAAATTACTTAGGCACAATAATGGAGACACTCATGAGATATTTGACTTTATAACTTACCTAGGAGAACGAGAACCAGAACTTGAATACGATCGAGAACGAGACCGAGACCTTCTGGAAGAATGAGAGGGTGATCGCGATCGTGAGTGATATCTTCTTGAACTCCTGCTCCTGCTTGGACTTCGGCTGCGCCTGTATCTTCTGAAACAGACAGAACATAGCCCATTCTGAATTATTATACCAAAACAGCTTACAATTATTACCTATGTTTATCCCAGTTTCAATATTACCAACATCACAGTATCATTAATATATGTATAAATCAAAATTGGTGAAATAGAAAATGGATATATGAACTCCAGTACCTAAACTCCAGAAATTAATGTAGTGTTTAAAGAGAAACAAGATGTAACTGAACTCTGTTCGAATATCAAATAATATAATATAAGCTGCAAGAAACAATCGTTGTAAATTCTTTTCATACCTGGGAGAGCGGCTGTCACTTCTACTTCGGCTTCTATATCGACTTATACGGCTCGTTTCTGCAAGTTTTTCAAGCCTCTTGCGTTCTTGTTCTCGTTTCTTAGCCATCTCAACTGCTGTGTCTTTTTTAACTGCAAAGATAGTGACACGGGACATTCTAATTTACTAATTCATGCAGCAAAACAACTCCACAGAGCATTTGAGGGGCGAGGATCTTGTAAGATTCTTTTTTTTTTTTTTTACAAACAAATCGCAGCCCACTTAAGAGATTCAGAGCTTCACTTCAAGAACTTCAAGAAAAAGAAATGTTATACTTTGTTTGTTTAGTTGTTTGTCCATGATCCGCTTTAGTCGTTCTTGAGGCGTTTCCTTCTTCTCCCCCTGTTGTTTGGAGAGATTTCCACGGCTAGTTGCTTTGCTCAACTTTGCTAGTGCAGATGATGTGCTGTCAGGATAACTCATGAGTCGAAAACCCATCAGGCAATTACAAATAAAATATATTACAAGCACTTTCATTACTTTGGCGTGGTTTTTAGCAGCTTGGTGTTCCTATCTTTGTCAAGAGACACACCAGAGGCGGGGTCCACATGGAGAGCCTCAAGTATGTGACCAGACGGCCTGCATGAAAGTAGAAGCATTAGATACCTCTTTTTTCAATCAGACTGGGACTGAAGCTCTCACATGATGTACAATCAGGACAACAAAAAGAGCTTCAAAAGAACGCTCCCGTCCGCTTATCCACCTCCAAAAATATTTGTAACCTAGCAATCTATCCTTTTATTTTTAACATAAAGTGGTGGCTTAAGCTTGCAGCACAGTTAACACTTTTCCAATCTAGCTTTTGCAAGAATAAAAAGCTCATGTGCTCCGACCGGTTCAGTGCACCAATTTGAGATGGAGGAGATGATGGAGGAGAATAATGTCCTTCAAACTTCAGCTCATCCCCGTCTCCAGAGCCCCCGAATTCAGTAATATACTCTATTTTGGGAGCGCTTTCTTTGCCTCGACGATTATCATCAGCACGTGAATAGCGTCTAGACTGTGAGGGAGAGTAAGACCGAGACCTCGACCTTGATCTAACCAAGACCAACAAAAAAAAAAAAAAATGTTAGTCGATCAACTTGCTTGGTCGCAAATGAAAGGTGAAAATAAGTAAATAAAAAAAAAAAGTAAAAGAAAAAAAAAATCATTTACCTCCTAGAGCGTGAGTAAGCCTCATAAGTAGGACTTCGCCTAGAGTCCCTGCAGACATAACAGAGAAAATTATAGAGATAAAGGTAACATCTTTCCTTGTAATAAATCTAGAAGTGCATGTGTTTCTAGTACATAAACTGAATGTAATAAACATGTAGGACTTACCGATATGGATCATGTTGAGACACCCTAGTTCCACTAAACCGATAACTTTCTCTTTCCCTCTCTCTTCCCATCTGAGAAGCTTTCCTTCTCTCTTTGCGACTCAGCTTCCTCTGTAATATCCCCGGGTGCAGGATTAGAGAAACTGCTGAATTGAGCAAAAATAAAAACAGACGTCTGACAAAACTTACTGTTGAAGGATCGCCTTTGATCATTTCTTTCTGCCTTCTTGCCTCCTCTTTAGCCTTTTTGTCCATATATACAAGCCAGCCATACCTCTTCACCCCAAATTCTTTAGCAATTGACTCCATTGCTTCATCATTGCTGTCGTCACTATTGAAATCTTCTTCCTCGTCTTCATTCTCGTCGTCCTCTTCATCGGCATCCGAATATTGAATATCTTCATGTCCATCTCCATCATATGAGAAACCAACTTGGGAATAAGACCCTTTATTTGGTGGAGGCTGAGGCACATGGGGCCTATAGACATCGCAGTTGATAATTGGTTAAAAATGAAATAAATATTAGTTAACAAAAACGTCTAACAAAAATAGCAAAACTATATAGAGGGGGAAAGAAGTACAGCTTTAGAACAAATATAGGGAAAAATAAAAAACTAAAACAAGGATCATGAAAAACAAAATTCAAACAAATGTGTCAAATTAAAGTATAGAAAATTAAATGTTCAAGAATCATCAACCATACTGACATCACATGCTTTGCAGCTAATTAATTTAAATGAGACAAATCATGAGATTCATTCATCTGAAGATATTATTGAAACAAAAATTATACCTGTCTGATCCAAATGCTGCAGTGATCTTTGCCTCCATCTCTAGGTTAACATGACGTAGACCCTCCTCATCGTTAACTGCCACATTTTTTGTTAGCATTTCAAAAGTAAAAGAAGATATAGCATAACTTTGTGAATGGCATTAAAGCATCCAGCTGCTGTGTAAGGAACAGATTGCTACCATAGTTGACAACAGTAAAGCAAATATATGATCTTATATAAAACCAAAAAGTACCGACATCCTCTACGCCGATGCTTAATTAAATCCCGGTAACGCTCAAAATTAACAAATTCTTCTAACTCTTCCTCTTCCTCAGTTTTCTCTACAGGCCGAAAACGCCAGGTACTACTGTCACGGATAAAGTCAAGAAGAGCTCGGCCGTCAAATCTGCAGGGACATTATGCAATCAGTATATCGACAGATTTTCCAATGTATACCCAGGTTGTCATACAAAAAAGGAGCTATTTTCAGTGTTCTTTGAACACGGGCAATTACCTGTCAATCAAAATATCCTGCTTTCCGTTCCAAGGTATCCTGATTACATCAAAGAAAAGTTAGCTCTATCTTGATAGGAAAATTATCGCACTGAATCTTAAGAGGCATGTGATAAACATAGTAATTTTTGTAAAGAGACTACCACCATTGAGGAGTCGTTGCTATAGTCAAGTGATCGACATTTAGAAGACGAACAACAAACTAGTGTACTTTTGGGCAATAACGCGTCAAAGGTATATCTAGCAAACCCTTTTCCACCAAGTACGTTTTCACCAACAAGATTGTAATCTATAATCACCCATCAAGTTTCTCTGGTAACGACAGTTAATCGAACTTGTGCCACTTTTTTCCCAAAAAAAAAAAAAAAA